CCTAGGTACAGATCCTAACCAGTAGCTTCTCAGAGTTCTCTACGTCGACCCCCGGGCAATGTTGACAACGGAATGATCACTGGGTCGCATTCTCAGATGAGTCACGCTTTTGTTTCTCCAATGATAGTCGCCGCGTATTAGTGTGGCGTGTGGAGACAGGTCCAATCCAGCAGCAATTGTGGAATGCCCCACCGCGCGAAAGCGCGGCATCATGGTTTGGGGCGCAATTGCGTACGATTCCAAGTCACCTCTAGTTCGTATTCAGGGCACTATGACGGCACAACTATACGTGCTGGTGCCGGTGACACTTCCCTGCCGGTGACACTCCTCTTCCGGTGACACTCCACTACCTTCAGGGAGTGCCCAATGCCCTTTATCAGCAGGATAGTGCCCGACCACACTCTGCTCGCATCAGCCATTGTGCTCTGCAAGGTGTACAGTTGCTTCCCTGGCCACCGTTCTCTCCTGATCTCTCATCAATCGAACACATCTGAGTTGTGTTTGGACGTCATTTGCAGACAATGCCATTGCCGTTCAGAAGACTGACAACTGTGTCAAATGTGACCGTTCAACTGTGACAAATGGTTGACAGGGAATGGAGAGCCATTCCTCAGAAAATCATCCATAGTCTCACTGAATCGGCACCTAGACGTGTTGCATCGTGTATCGCCGTCCAGTGTGGTCCTACAACGGACTGAGCCGACGCTGCTCTCGCCTTGTATTTGTTAAGAAACGCCTATAGAGGGCGCTGTACCCCGCCTGTTTCTTTAGTGTAAGTTTGCAATTTGTACTAATGAGCTGTGCTTAACTATGAGTAAGAAAGTTTGTAAGGGAGTCGCCGGCCCTAATAATTAACGGCACAATTAATACTACACTTTATTTCAGTAATCATGTAAATAAATTTATTTGTTGTTGTGTTTTAAACTGAGTCTTTTATCGCCTGTTACGTACAAACTGAACAACCAAGATAGTTACAAGTTTGGCATTAGTAAAAATACCACAGTGTTATGCATATCATTTCCAAATAAAGATCACTTATTGTTCGTTGCTGTCTCTGTGTGTTTGCCGAATTTCATCACTTTCTGGCCACTCCTTCTTGGTGTTGCATTTTCAATGTCGGGTAGTGTAAATACTTGCAGTGTATCATCATTACAAATGAAATGTTACATCTATGCTTTGTTTCTTCAAATGCAATTAATATGCTATTCATACATAAGTAATTCAAGTGGTATTATATGCAAAGTAACTGAAGCCATTGAAGATTTATGCTTTGTTATTTTACATGCGTTAATCTGTTCTATATCTATAACTATTCTTAATAACGTTATAAATGAAACATATATAGGCTTTGCAGGTATAATTCCTGTATTGTTACTAAAAATATATGCTTTTGTTATTTAAATAATCTATATCATCCCAGTATTCATAAATTTTTTAGTAACCTTACACAATTTTTTTTTTTTTTTTTTTTACAAATTTTTTTATGTTGAGAGAAAGAGTTTCTAAAATGCATTTTATCTTCATATTTGATTTCAGATTATATTTTTTAAGAATCATATAACACTGTAGCACTTACAGTGGCTAATATAAACATATATCAGAAATTAAGATCTGAAATTTAAAAGGATCTTGCAGTGCTTCCTGAGACTGCATTTTCTTGAGTAATAAATGCTGTCTGAAACTAATATTCCTGTTGCATTTAATATGACTTATTTGCAAGGTTACACTTGATTAATTTTTTATACGAATTAATTCTGATAATTTTATACTCAGAACAGTAGTTGGTAAAGTTTTCTGATCTTTTTTAATTCAATAATTTAATGAAGCTGGTTTTGCTGCGTTACTTCGAGTTCAGAGTTTGTTCACTGTTCGTTCTTGTAATCCAGACTGACTCACAAATATATGAATTTTAGTTATCCTATAAAAAAGTTAATTTCTTCGTCTTTTTATGGGGGAGTATAAAGAATTGTGTTAGTTGTTTTTGAAACTGAGCTTTTACAGCTATACATAATAATAATAACAATAATAATTACCCTTCTCCCCAAAATCTCTGAAACTGAAACAACAGCATTACAACATACAGGTAACAGTATCATGAATATTTTTGAAAGAATATGAATAAAGCCATATCACTTAGCTGAGTATTTTCAAATAACAACATTATTATTTTAATATTGTTACTGTAACTGGTAAAGTAGCCTTAAATTTACACGCTGAACAGGAAAAAATTTACAACTTTTCTCGCTGAGAGTGAGCACCAATTTTTAATTAAGATATGTAAACCTCAATGAAAAGGAAATTTATATTCTCGTCGTGGCGGAAATGATGCGCAAATTTGATTATTCTTACAAACGAACATATCAGTGAAATGCAGAGAAGAAATTAATACCAAAGTACACACGAAACTATAAACTGAATAAAAAGTATTAAACAGAGATACTTTTATATCTGCTCTCTTCCTTTCCTCAGGATAGAGACAAACTATAAATTTTACTTCTCAAACACCATCTGATCCTAAAAAGCACATAATTTGTTTTTTCATTCACAACTAATAACTGCATAAAAGAAGAGAAAGAAATGCGCACATTTTAACTGAATGGCAATAATTAGCGCTAAGATAAAGTTAAATCTCTGTATATAAGTTGTGTTAGCTTTTCAAATGGGAAAAAATGTCAAATAAATAAATGAGCATCTAAAATAACTAATTTGTTAATGACTACAGTATCATTAGATGTTGTTTAAAGAGGCTAAAGAGCCTTTTTTTTTTTTTTTTTTTTTTGTAGTGAAATGTGAAACAAATTATTTGCAAATAGTAGTTTCTAATTCAGAAGTCAAACAACAAAAATCAGCGTTATATTTTCAAAATTTTTGTTGTTTGACTTCTGAATTAGTATTTGTTCGGCGTGTTATTGTGTCTTAGTTAGTAGTTTCTAATTTCTAATATTTTTAACGACAGGATATTTTGCTGGTAAACTGTTTTAGTGGCACAAGGGCTTAATAAGCTTGTTTCTGCGTTCAAGTTTTAATTATGTTCTTAAAATAACTATGTGTATAACCTTGGAAAAATAATCAGGCATAGCATTTTCAAAGGCATATAATCATCAATGACTGACAGCGTTATACGAATTTTACAAACTATTCAAAAACTATTCAGTTTCCTGATATATGCTCATAAAATTAATTTTATTTACTAACACTAAAAATTTTCCAAAGATTTATCACCTTTCACTTATGGCATGTTTGCTTTTTTGTTCACTTTAAAAATTAACAAGTGAAAAAAAAATTCAATAACATAAACAAATTTCTAATATAATTTATTTCTAGAAATAAAAATATACAAACATAGCAAAAAATTTTTAATTTAGAAGGTATTTTTAAGGCATAAAAGATCTATTTATTCTTCAATCGATTTACTACTAAATATCTTATATATACGCTTATATTTCGCGTCTTTCAGTTAAGGTCTTAAACTATCATGTTTCAGGCGATCGTTACATTCCTCCAGCCAAATCTTTAAATAATTCATAAATAGTAGTAATTTTATAAGAAACGATGTCAAAATTTTTGTTAGTGCACAGATTAATCTTTAGAAAATTATTTTCCAAAAATAGTTTGGAAAAAGTGTTTTGCTGATGAAGAGTATTATTTTTGGAAGTATCTAATGATATTTTATTTTCATTTCCATTTTTGAAAGCACATATTCCTTTGTAAATAAAGTTGATTTGACAAACATGAACATACTCCTTAACTGAATTTTAAGCGCTTTTCCTAATTAAAATTCAGCACTTTGTTAAAAAAAATAAGGTTTCTGCGGTCGGTTTGCATTACATGACAAGGAATGAATATGCTCAAAAGATTTTAAATTGGACATACACATTTACATGAATTTTACTAAATGCTCTATTTGCAAAATCAGATATGGAAAAATCTTTTTGGCAGTAACCTTAAGAATACCAGATATCTACCAATAACGTAAATATCAGCATGAGAGTATGCAGAATAATAAAAAAAAAACTGAATATTACCCCTATGAAAACTTAAATTTTATTATAATGTATTAATTTCAACGCGTCTGATATTAGATGAAGAAATATGAAACAAATTTAAGAAAAGCAAAGTCAGTAAGAACAAATAATGTATCGAAATAATTGCCTGATAAATTTCCGAAGAATATCTCTACGTTGTGTGTAACATACTGATAATGACCATTATGAAAACTATATTTCTGAAAACAAAGAGCATAAGCGTTGTTAGATTTGTTATAAAATTGATGGTTTCCTGATTCCGAATTTGCATAAAAGACAAAAGGCCTTAAAATATACTCTTGTGACACAGAATTGCTGAAATAATTGAATCTTTTATCACAAGTGAATAGAAATTGCCGAATACTCGTGCTGCTCCGGTAAGGATATAAATAATTTTTCGCTGCTTAATTTAAATGTAAGAAATTTGGCAGTCCTCTGAAATTCAAAAACTAAACTCATTCATATTGCACAATCAGTAATCTATGAGACTATTTTTTGTAATAAAACATAAATAATTTAAAACCTTAAATAAAAATTAAATACCCTTTTTCAGCGTATTTAAGAACTAGAAGAAACACTTTGTAGTAAAATTTTAGCGTTGAAAGGTAACCTATTCCTGAGAAGCTCTTTTAATTACCTTTTAAAAGATCTATAGATTAGTTTACATTAAAGATCTGCAAATGATGTAAAACAATTAAACGCGATTACTCGTTTTGTAACTAATTTCTAAATCGCGCTATATTTCTCTTCGGGTTTGAAATGGTTCTCAGTGAAACCCATAGTGACATCTAGTGTCGAAATATGACAAAAAGCATTTTATCACAAAAAGACATTCCAACATTAATCACGGGATTCGCCACTAGATGGCACAACCTCACGGAGGCATATATCAGTGTTAGTTTCGGAACGTGAGAAATGTACCAATGGGGAAAAAACACACTGCCTTTAGTCACTTTTACCCGTTGAACAGAAACTTTTCTTGAACTTCGCAAATATTACAATTGTTTAAAAGGAGATTTTTTACCATAAAATGTTATTTATTTAGGATATTACCCTATAATGTAACCTCTAAAAATATGATGAATGGCATTTATTCACCTTTAGTGTTTTGAGATTTATTTTAGATACCGTTCTTAAAACTCATCCTGTAACTAACTAAACGTTTTCTAAATGCACTTTTTATTAAAATATACTCAATTTTAAACTTGTGCATTTCTTATGAAACTTCCGTTTCTTTTTAAATGAAAAAAAAATTTCGATATTAAAAACATGGTAAGTATATTTAAAATGCATTTTCTATTAAAAGCGAAAAATTCCATTCCAGCAATTGGAAAGTCTATTATTTTCTATGAAATTTCAATTTCCTTTATCAAATGGAAAATATTTACTAATAATTTATCAATATTAAGCATGCTTGAAATAGAGCTCAAATTTTTAAATTTCAGTTTTTTTATGAAAATATACTTCGTATTGTTAGGCAATTAATTATTAATCACGACTGTGAAAAATTAGATTACAACATTTTATTTTCAAATTTTAATGAAACGAGAATTAGAAATGCTTTTCATTTAACCGTAACTAAAGTAAAATAAAAACTAAAAAAATGTATGCTACTTATTTTTGAAATTTAACATTATTACGGTGTTTACTCGCGTAACTGTTGCACTTTTTTTTGGCCATTTTTTCATTGTGAAAGTCTAGGTGCGACTATTATGCGTGAAAATCTACTACACAATAATGTATAGTACTTTTGACCATTTTTTCTGCTTCAAAACGGGGGTTAGACTATTACGCGAGTAAACACGGTATTAGTTAGTTTTTTAACATTCTATTAAAATAATTTAGTAACATGCACATTTGTTTTATGGTTAGCAATATATTATATTCATTAAAAGGTTTCTTATTTCCCTTCCTTTTGAGATATTTTTTACAAGATGTTTACAAGATAAAAGAAACAGTCTTTGAGGAAAACTGTGGATGAAGGTTCTGCCAATATATCTGTATATTGCATATGTTGTCTTAAAAAAAGGGGGGGATCGAAATATTTCACCTTAATTTAGGGTAGCTTCTGCCTTTTTTGTTTTCAACAAAGGACAAAGTAATTAAATAAATAATAAAAATTTCAAATTAATGTTGGATTTAATGAGAAGATATTGATGCTGTTTAACTGTTGTTATACAGTATTTCCCAAAATAATGAAGCCATATTAAACTCACCTTTATATCGAATCAGATACTTTAATGAAACAATAATGAAGGCAAAATTAAATCTTTATGCAGGTTTAAAGAGTTTTAAGCAGAAACTTAGAATAAACCTGACAGCAGCGAATATGATATGCAGTTTGGCTCTTATACATTCAGACAGTCTCCAATGAGACATAAAGTGTTCGAAATGTCATTTGCATTGTTAAAATTTAATTGTGGAATTTCCTTTCTTACGCTTAAATTTGGATTTGATTCAGTATGGAAAATATCAGTGACGCTGGAAAAGTGAAAACTTGATGAAATGTATTAAAATAAATTATTGATTTGAAGCATTTCAATGTCTATTAATTACTTTTACGCTATTTGAAATTATAATTAAAATCTGAATTATATATATCAATCTTTCTCGTCTTTGTTTGGAGAAGAGAGCTGTTAATGACGCCTTTGAATATACCGCGTATGACGAAAACACAAATTAAAATACTGGAGATGATCAGTTAGCAGAACTGTCGCACGTGAAGTTCTCGAATCGGCATGTGGTACAGGTAAGCCGTGATATAAATTCTTGATGATACAAGTACAGTCAACGTTGACACAGGTAAGCCGTGATATAAATTTTTGATGATACAAGTACAGTCAAGTCGTCACCGTTGACTTTTCGCCAGCTGCTACCTATAGCAAGTTCAGTATTTTCTAAGTGCACAACTTCCTTAATACGAGTATTAAATATATATGGAGCTTTGCCTTTCAGAAAACCCTAAAAATAAATAAATAATTTCTTCGTCAGAAAATTAAATGCTGCCCTTGTCTAATCAAACAACATTAAAAAAAATCCTGGTTTGATCAATTATCCCATCATGGCATGGAATCAATAAAAGGGAGAACAAGCTGAATTTTAATTGTCCCTATGACTGGAATTATTTGACATTACTTGAGGAAAGGAGATTTTTATTATCATGTTTCATCAGAAATAAAACCAAACTAGATTATCTGCTGGAAAATATTTTTGCGATCCTTTAAAATGCAGTTCTATACGAACTTAAACTCTTTTAAGCCTAAAAAGAACATTAAATATGCCTGATATTTGCAACTCATTAATAAGAAATGACTCAATAATGTTTGACATTAAATCAAAAGCCTACTGGGGGCCAGTGATTTCATTAACTACGTATAATTCATTTAGTTTTAAATAATTAGATCTTTTGTAAATTGAAATTTTAATGAATCGCGAAACTTTTATGACCGATACTGCGTCACGAAATCTTCCACTTCCCATACTAAAATCAGATTTAAATTTAAACTTATAAACGAAACTGTGAAACCAAACTTTAACGAAACAAGTCAGATGATATCTCTTAATCAAATTACCTGACAAACGTCAGTAATAATAATAAGAATGTACGACTAAAATGATTCTATAATTTCATGATAAATATTTCTGAGCAAAACTAAGAGTAAAAATTAAAGGTTTTAATGAATGTTTTGTGTTAAATGTTGAATGTTGTTTTACGTTTAATGATTTGTGCATAATTTAGTCCAGATTTATACACAAAACGTTGTGGCATTTTCCTGGAACACATTTGATTTGAGGAGACATACAAACTAAAGTGAGTAAAGTTGTTTTATCGTTTCTGGGCACATCGTGTGAATACATTTTCAAGGTAAGTAATAAATTTGTTTGTATTTGCATAACGTTCATCCTTCACCACCTCTATACTGTAACTTCCACGTCAATAGTTCATCTTCTCTGAATCACTAGAAATTTGACTTCTCCCATTTTCTGAGTGCACCTTCTAAGTTACTCGCCAGCCAAGATATTTAATTTCCAAATTTGGGATTTTTTTTTTACATCATTTTAGATTTGTTTTGAGAGATCGGGCAACAAATAAACCAAAAAAATTCGATGTTTATTTTTTTCCCTTAAAAGTCATTCAATAATATTCTTTTGGGATACATATGTGCGTAACATTTCTTAAATTATAATTTCTTTATAACTTTTTTATTCAAATAAATTATACGTATCTAAATACTAAAAATACATTCTTATTATTTTTTTACTTTTGAAATTTTATTACTTTAGAATCATAACCTAATAAACTAACAAGAAAATTCATTAAAGTAGAAATGAATCTTCATTTTTTAATTTATGCAAATAATATTCCGAGTTGGGTACCTACTAGCACTTAAACTTGTACCTTTTAGAATACGAAATCTGAAGATTCTGTCAGAAAACTCGTTTTTTAATATATATATATATAGAATACAGTATCAAATGTACTTTTAAGCAATAGCTTTTGAACTTTTCTCTTCTTTGCAAATATATATATATATATATATAAATTTTCTTAAATATTGCTATAGCTACAAGCGGACCACATAAAATGTTAGATTTAATAAATCTTACAAAATTGATTTTTAAAATTTTAAAATGTCAAAACTTGAATATTTGTGTCATTTAAAACAATTCTATAATTGAAAGTGTATATCTACCCCATAAGTCTATACACTACATGTTTATTTGTGAAAGTAAATTTCGCATGAGAATTTTCGACTCGAGGTGTATACAGTGACTCACAGCGAAGTATACATGTATGCTTGCTTCCTTGAAGAGATAAATTAGTCAGGTAATTAAATTTTTTTATATTCTTTTGTGAATATATACTGCGCATTTCCACGGAATTTTGATTTCCTTTGATGTAACTATTTATATTTTATTATTTATCCCTGTACTGTTTATTAGTTTAGAGCATTTTTGAAGCATTTGCAATTTTTGATTTCTAGGTTTTCCAATTTCTTTTATCTAAATTCATGTTTTGTCAAAATTTAATATTATTTTGGGTCAGAATTTTACTTTGAGTTCTGCGAAATTACTCAAGAGTTTCTAGTTTTTAAATTTTTTTCTGCTTCAATTTTTTTTTAAATTTTTAATTTTTAGAAGTCACCTAGATCGTCTTGTTGATTCACTGACAATGAATATAAAGCAAATAAAAATTTCTTTGGTAGCTAGTCACATTCTGGAATACTCTTGCCCTTTTCCATCAAGATTTTAGTATCCATTTAGTATTTATAATAAAGGCGTCATTCAACATATCAAAACTATACATTTTATATCTTTCTTCATAAGGCAACTACATTAAGTGGGCGGAATTTAGTATCCGCGAGAAGGGCCAGGTGTCAAGGTCTTAAAAGGAGAAAATCTAACTCCAGTAAACAAATGATAGTGTAATAGAAAATTAATACGTATTATTTTCTAGAATGCAGGGAATGTTATCTACTAATTAAAAAATGTAAGAGATTTTAACAGATGTGAATGGAAAGCTCTAACACAGTTATGTGAAAAACAAAGTAAGCATTCGAATGTCTACGTGTTGCTGCTTAAAATAAATAATAAGTCAAAACAAGTATAATTATTATAATTATTATATAAATTATATAACATAAATAAAAAAGGAAAAAAGTATAAAGAATTTTCCAAGCAAAATTAGCGAAATTATTACACTGACTGTTTCAAAATTAAAAAAATATTAGATTTGATTAAAAAAAAAAGATACTTTTCTTCCTTTTATTTATTATTTGAAGTTTAGATACATTCCTTTACCTACTGTAGAAACTGGAGCATGCAAGTAGTTTAAAAGCCCATTTTAAGATAATGAACTCTCTCGTGCATATACAAAACTGGTGTCAGGTATTTTGATTCTTCGCTAAAGGAACGATTACAAGAATACATCTGAAATAAAACAGCACTGAGCTCCAGTTGAATCCAGTGATGAACTCCAATAGTTCTGACTCAAGCAAGCTGAAAGTACTGCATTTCTACTGGTTTTTTGACCCATATTACACATATTCAGAGCAGAATAAAACGTATATGTATTCAAACGCACGTACCGCAGCACTCAGATGCACTTAGTTAGGTGAAGACTTAAAGTGCTGTCCATCTATAGGTCGAGCATGGAAGCCTAAATAACCTGCAAAGAACATTAGTTAAGTACGTATTATTTTTTCACATGTATATATGTAAGTGATTGTTAGGGACATACGATATATACACTTGTGTGCAAAATTAAGAAAATTTGCCCTTTATGTCGAATTTCTGAAAAATTAATGTACATATTTTAATGAAATTTGGTAAGAGTATACATTTATAACAGAGAAAGAGAGGTGCAATTATAAAGTCATTTTATGTAAGTATAATTATCAAAAAGTTCATAATGCAGTAATTTCCAGAGTCCACATTGTGATTTCGATCTCAAAATGAGTCGAATATAGGGTATAGCTCCCTCTCAAGCCCGACAGGTAGCGTAGTGGACAGGAGGCAGTTGAGAAGTCCCTGTGGCAGGCGATGTTACTCCTACAGCAAGGGAGTTTTCAACGCCAGGGTGGTTCTCGGAGGGAAAGGTGAGATGTATTTGCGAATCTATGCGGCGAATATCCGCACTTTCCAGGTAATCGTCGACCAGCTAAACCCTATGTGGGCGAACTTTGTCATTCATTAACAGAAACCCAGAACCAACTGCTCATCTAAAAAGATGAACAAAAAGGCTTTAAGATCTCCTCTTTGTACCTCATAGCAAAAGGCCTTTGTCAAACACATGCAGGGAAGTGCGGGAGTGCAACTAATGCTTGCTCAAACCATTGTTAGAGTCTTGTTCGTTTAGGGAACATAAAATGTAGACCCTACTGAAGACAAGATAGCGAATTCTCGCTATGTCTTAAAAACAAATAACTGCTGACGAAGGTTATAACAACCTTTTTTATTTTAACTAAACTGAACAGAACATGCACGCACTCGGTGCTCACAAACTAACAACCACTTGTGACTAAGTAACTTGAACACTAAATAGTCTGCACAATAAGAATGAATCAAATTTCAACTACACGACTTCATTCTAAATCCGATTTATCGGTTGCACACAGCAAAGCCGAGTCTAAAATATGAAATAACCTGTAGAGACATTAGGATTTTTTTGTATAAGGGAGAGATGAAAAATTAGCAAACGCCTTCGCCAGGAATCGAACCACGGACCTCTGGAACACCAGCCCAGCGTGCAGAACCACTACAGCACGAAGGCACTAAGAAGGCAGGAGAAATACCTTATAAACCTAAGAAGTAAGTGCCTATCACAAATATTCAATTACAGAGCTGCTTGTAGCTCGAAGCATAAATGTCGCTTGCGGCATAAACTCGTTCTCGGCGTAAATCCGCTCAGCTCGTAACTAACTATTCCACCACGAGTTCTTCAATTCTGCTATTTAAATACTTTTTCCGAACTCACTGATATTTTGCACGTATATCATTTAAATTTGCATTCTGGCAGGAAATTGAAATCAGAAGGGAAAGGAAAGTTTCTTAAAATAAAAAATAATCGACTAGTACAAAGTAAGGTCTTTACTCCTCCAATACCATAATGATCCTTTTCGTGAAAATGATAGCAATGTTCACACTCTCCCTAGGCACAGGTACCTCGATAATCAGTGTCCAGGCTGAATCTTGATTCATCTGTAAAAAGCGCAGTGCTCCACTGAAGTCTGACCCAAGGCGCAAGTTGTCTACAACCTGTGGCGTAGTTAGAGTGGTGCAAGGAGGGACATCTGTCCCAGGGCGCAACATCCAGAGGGCGCCAAATTGATGTTACGGAATTTTAGAATGAAATGTTTTGCATCCTTGGCACACAAAAGCGAGCACAAAATCTTCAGCTATCCCCCGGCCCTGGAAACCCAAGCTACGGCTCTGTCTGCAAGATGCTAAACGCGCTCTCTTGTGCGCTGCAGTGAGCGGGACGCAGAGCTCTATCTCATAAAACCTTCTGTTACACGTAGACAGTAAAACTCGGTTTCCAAGCATAGTGACAGTATACAGTCCAAGTGAGAGCTGTAAAGTGATACAGTCCAAGTGAGAGTAGTGCTAAGTCGCCGCGCTGAAAGTGCCAAATAACGATTCTCATTTGTAATCGTGAATTTTGGTCGACCTTGCCAGGTCTTCTCTGTATAGATCTAGTGTCTTGAAAGTGTTTTCATAAATTGCAGATGACACTGGACGTTATATTGAGCTCTGTAGCCACCTACGCTTGTGACTGGCCAGCTTCCAATTTACAGACAATTCTCCATCTCATTCTGTCATCAATAAGTTCGTGGCTACTCAGTTTACTTGTTACCCTATAAAATTTACCCAACTCTTGCGAAAAAAAACGGCGAATATCTTGAAGGAGTACGAGTAAATAAATAGCCGAAAACCGTTCGTGTGCTTATATTCTTTCGAAAATCGCAGCTCCCAGAGACCCACATGTATACTTACGTATTTGATTTCGAAAATGTGCATAATTCTTCGACGGTATAATTAGTACCCTTAGCTCAATATTTTTCTTAAAAATAGACGTAATTTGCAAATTCTTTTAATTTTTCTATCGTATAGGTATAAACAGTTGTGAGGGCAGAATAAACATTACGGTAAGTGCTTAAATAAAAAGAAACTCAATTTGCTTTTACTTTATTTTCTTTCCAAGAATTAAAAGAGAAGAAAGCAAACATTGCAGTATGAAAATCATTTCCCAGACAAAAATGTAATAACCGATAAAAAGTAGAAGTTGACCGGCTTCTGACCTTGATGCAAAATAAATTATGAAGTGTACCGTATTCTTTACTCGTATACTTTCATTTGGTTTAATATGCATATCTGTCTAATGTTAAATGTTAAACGATCCATTCAAATATTCTCTTCTTATTTCCAGTTAATTTTATATGAAAATAATATGATCGTTCATTCGTCTTAGTTGAGTTTCAGTAAAACAGACAAATTATCTTTGTTAATAACAATGAAAGATAGATATATTTAAATAAAATTGAAAAGGGTTTATTATAACTTTATTTTAACTTTCGTTGATTATTAGAAGGAGGAATATATCATTCTAAAGTTATAAGGTATTTCTCCCGCTTTCCTAGCCTGCCTTCGTGGTGTAGTGGTTCTGCATGCTGGGCCGGTATCCAGAGATCCGTGGTTCGATTCCCGGCGAAGGTGTTTGCTATTTTTCATCTTTCCTGCTTCCAAAAATAAATCCTAATGTCTCTACAAAGTATGTGAAGAATTGTTTGATACGGAATAAACTGGTAGTCTTTCTGAAATCACAAATTCACTAACACAAATCTACCACAATAATTTTGTGGTAAATTAGTATTTTCTTTGTTTTCTAATTACTAGTTACAGCTCACATACTGACAGAAAACGATATGATTCCTAAATATTCAGGGCTTTATTATAATACTTTCTTCAAATCCCAGTGAAATCTCATGGTCCATAATGCAAATTTAACTCTCATCTGACATACAAGCATTTAGAGCACTTACCTAGAACTAAGTACTGCCATCCCTCCCTTCTAATGTTAATGTAGTTTTACAACGCATCTCAGAATCCGGAACCACTGCACGCGAGTTTCTAGAATTAACTTTGTTGTGCTTAACTAGACATAGCCCGACTAAATACATACACGCATAGATATAACCTATCATTTAAATTCAAAACCATGGAACACATTTTTGGCTATACATTCCTTGGAAAATGAAGATATGGAAAGAAAATATACACTTTTCCCGAAGGTAAGGTTAAAAGATTGCAAAATTAAATTATTATTATTGAAATCAATACTGTACATTAAGGAAACTTGTTGCAGACACGTAACATTTTACTCTGAGTGCATTTTATTGGGCTGTTTAAGCTTATATAAATGCTCTATTACAACTAAATTCTACTGTAACTTAGTTTTGAAATGAGATACAACAATTTTAGCTAAACATTATATAATGTGGATGTCATTTAATTTTTGTTCATCTCACAAAAACATTCAGGATCCCACAAAAAACGTATTGCTTTGTTTTTAAATTTCTGTATATATATTTGCTCTATTTATTCTACTTCATTAAGCTTCACCCACAGTATAAAGCGCATCTCTATAATAATAAGTAGGGGCCAAGTATTGTGAGAAGACCGCCCCTTTATCTTAATGATCCAATCAGCCTATGCATATAAAGGTTCTTCTCCATTTTCTTTAGTTTTTATTTCTTATTTGTCTTTTCTACAGACCGAATGAAATTGCAACTGGAGTCATTATTATCCAATTATTCTGTCCAACGGCGAAGAAGATGACCACGTTGAGTGAGAAAAGGGTTCTATCTACAGTTCGAAACCTGGAGCTCACCGGTATATAGCTGGTTGGTATTGTTTTAATGTACGCTCTTATGCTTGATATTCATAGGACAAGAGTCAAGCAGATTTTACCACTTTTTTCTTCGGTAATTATACACCCGCGTGTTTCGCAGGTATCAGATTGCAGAGGATCAAGTGACCACTGGTCCGAGAAAGCTCTACATCCTGTTTGTTAGTGACTCCATGAAACGGTTTTGAATGACAATCCTGCATCATTAAGAGCTGAAAAAAAAACTACCCTGGTTTCCGATCACAGAAGAAAATCTTTCCAATATAATTCATTGCATGTGAACCTGGTATGTATACTTCAATTTTCATATTTAAAGACCATGTTTATGCTATATAAGCACTGATGTGATTGTGATATAAAAGATTACATTTTAACCGTCTAAGTTTGAGGGAACCATAAGAAAATAATAATAAATTCCATTTTATTGTCAATAATCATATGCTTTGTTAAATTCAAATTTAGTTAATTTGTTGGATTAAATACAAATTATAGAATTATTTATACACTTTCAAAATAGAACGAAAAGCTTTTACGTCATTTATCATAAAATATTTATCTAAAACATAATTTTTCAGCAATGATAGTAATGCCTCTATTCTGTAACTTTTTTTTAAAAAACTAATTTAAAGAAAATTAGAGCAGTGTTTCTCATTGCAAGTTAAACGAATTTTTTTTTTTTTTTTTTTTTTTCCCGGAGAAATTTAAGCATGTTGCTGCATGATTATAAAATTTTCTTATTTAAAGGTTCCTATTAAAAGTTATTTATTTTTCATTAGCTTAATTATAGTCACAGTATTGAATGTCAGCTTTATGAAATGTGTATGTTGGTGCTTTATTGCAGCCTGAATTAAATAAGTTTGTATAAACTCGAGTATACACTTGCTGGCTGACTGACAAATCTACAGCGTAGTTCCGAAAACAAATTTTTTTTCAGATTCTTTTCTCAAGATTTCTGGAAAACAATAAGAGGATGGAACTGCGGTTATAGCCAACATAGCCAACAACAACAAATTGCCGAGATATCCATTTACTCAAATGCACCTACCCCTGTGTTCTTACTTTTCCGGCATAGCTTTCTCTTAAAATTTGTCTCGTGGTGCATTGCACGGGGAAATATAACAATTTTAACTATAATTCTCCTAAAATTACGTATCTAAATACAAACTTCTTAACAATATATTTCAAATTATATTTATCGCATTCATATTAAAGCATATATTATATATGTTTAATATTAAATTACATTCTGATCATAAATTTACAGAAAGTCTCAGGGTTTCACTCGAAATGGCTTAAATTATTTTTGAAGTTAACTTTTACATTAAACGTCTTTTAAGGATGTACGTTTGTTAGATTATGAAAGGTTTCGGGAAATAAATTTTTAAAGCTGGATTCTTTCTCAGTGTTAAAGCAAATAGACATTTTTAACATGCCCAAATAAGTTTTTTAATTTTTTTTTTTTTTTTTTTTTTTTTTTTTTTGTATTTAAAGCCTGCAGGAAAATTCTGATGCCAACATATTTAAACATTGTACACATTCTTCGAAAACATACTTATATTGCATTCGTAACTTTGAAGTTATTCGCAAATGAACTGCAGTACACATATAGAAATTTATTCCATAATTTGAAAGTTCACCAATGGCTTAACCGGACAAAAACCACTGAGCACTAATAATTCGACTCTGATTCTAATCCCGCTGAAAGGACATGCTACAAAAACGTTCTCATATTTTCGTTGTATTCCCCGTGTTTCAAGTAAAGTACGAGAAATGTAAATACTTAAAAAAATCCATTTAGAAACCCTCACTTAGGGCACCAAACTATCATTATTTGAAAGATTTATTTATATCTGAAATCATTTTCCGGAATTATGATATATCTTCAAAATTCACTTCATGCATAAATACACATTGACCGTCGCTTATTAAACTCATCGGTTAATAAACTTAGCCGCTTATTACGTTCAATTTTCTAGGAATCAAAACAAATATATGCTAATCAATAGAAAAACTACCATTTATTAAACTCATCTCCACTTCGTATTAGTAAAATAAAACTCGTATTAGTAAAACACTGGTTCTTCAGTGCCAAAATTTCCGACTTGTACCTATCACAGCTTTTCGTAGTTCATACCTCTAAAGTATTGTGGACCCTAGATTTATCGTTCAGGTATGTAGTGCTTGAATAAAATCGATTTGTTGTTATTTTTACCTATATTTTCTTATCTTCAGGTTCCTGTACTTGTCAAACACAGTTTTCATAGTTCTTTACCCTCAATGAACTTCAATGTAGCAGAATTTCCTAACCTTAAGGTTAACAAAAGCATTCCTCTCCTTTGTAAATGAGCACTTCTTCTGGAATACTAACAAATAAAAAGTGGAAGTGCAACTTCTCTATCCTATTTTTTAAGGTTTCCGCAATCAGAATCTTTCCTTTGGAATAGACACATTATGTTCCCACAGATTCCTGAAAAGCATTAATGATATGCTTCTTAGCATTATCATATATTAAGAATCTTTCAATATAATCAAAATAAAAATTGTAGGTTGAAGAAAAAGCGAACGAGCATTGGCCATGCTTGTAATCATGAAGTTCCAGATCGACTAAACAGACAAAGGGCAAACATTCTGCTAAACGTAGGTTTGAAATTTTAGATAATCACTGGAAGAAGCATTTTTTTAAAATTTGCTTTGTGCTAACTTTTAATATGTCGAAAATGTTAAGAAAAGAGCCTTAAGCCTCAAAAAAGAGGATAAAAAAAGAAGTTAAAAGATTTTGATGTTCTTACTAATTTAAGCCAGTGACAAATTATATTCAAAGTGGAATTTTTTGAACAGCATTTTATAATTTACTTAAAAAAGAATTATAATTAATGAAAAACTAATAAAAATGCAAATGTCAGAAAAAGTACAAAAAATACATTAAATAGAGAGACGTTGAAATTGCTTTTATAAAATTAAAAAGTGGCTTTTATGTAGAAGCCTCAGAGGAATTGCAAGCTACAGCTAACGTTTGAGATATCAGTGAGGGAAGCTTTGAAGGTTTAGTTTTATAATATGTGTCAATTAGCAAAAATATTGAGATAACGTGTGTAAAAACTGACTATGAAAGATTTAAAAGAATTGCAGAAACTGACAGTGAAATTGATGCAGAAAAAAATATGATGATAATGCCATCGTCAATCGGATATAGAAAGGCATAGCAGACTCTACGCGGTAATTACTACGTTAAAACATTAAAAACTTCATTGTTAATCGGAAACTTATTTCACGCAGATGTGCAAAATGTATTCTGAAACAAGAAATGAAAAATGATAATAATGAATATCTAGTGTGGGTAATTATAAATTTGTCTTGTGTTTGGTCTCTCTCTCTCTCTCTCTCTGTGTGATCATTCGTATACTATACAAAAACAGGGCAAATTAAGCCTATAGCTTATTTTTACATATGATTTAAAGCTACCACGAGCAGCCATAAGTTGATTAACACCCGGATCCAGCTACTGGAGGAAAAGTACCAACCTCTTAGCATTACGAAAAACATTCTGACTCGTTATTCCTAATTAATGGATAAACAAATGTGTAAATGAGCAATAATTATGCAGAAATTATAAATCCTTTTGTTTTCTTCTGAAATTTAGGTAGATAATTGATTACAGGAAAACACGCGAGGGTTGTTTACTTTGAATGGGGGAGGATGCCTTCAGAAAGACTTAGTGAATAAGGAACACAACATGAACACATTTTATCACGCTTTACAGACACAAATAATGCATTTAAATGTCTTTGACAATCAGCATTCACGAACGAGATCCTGAAAGCTTAATTCTTCGACTTTCAGAACATTTACGAAGAAAATTTTATTAACAGCTTTAAAAAAATTCACATTAAAAATTTCACACATTATTGGAAATTTTGGATTCCCTTGCTATCGAAGATCATCGAAATATTACTAAGAGTATCGTTTTTCATATGACTAATTCTTTAATTTAAATAAATAATGTACTATTGCAGTTTGAAAGACGTATTAAAGATGGGTTGCATGGCTTAGAAAAGCGGCGCTAGTAATAACTATGAAAAAATGTGCATCTATTAGCGACCAGGCGTTAAAATCTCCGAATATTGATTTCAAATATTGCTCAAATCAGTTTGGGGTTAAGTTTTGAATGAAACTTTATCGAAGGTGATCAGACACAAGTGTCTCTTTCTTAGGAGCAAAGAAATTTGGCTTATAAAGGCTCACCAGTGGCTTAACACTAGTATTAAAAATGGCTGAACATTAGTATTTCGACCCATGTTCAAATCCCTGCTGACTATATGGAAATTTTCTTGAATTTTCCTCAAAACTTCCTCTACGAAGACAAAGCTCTCCTTAGACAGATAACCCAGCATAATTAAAAAGCTACAGCAACATACATAATAAAATATTCTTAAAACTGAATGGAAAGTTTTAGTTTACTAACTTAATCATATGATTTATATGAATTATAAGTCCTCGAACCCTAAAAAACATAATTATGTGTCTTATGAACCTAAAAAAAACACTTTAAAATTCTAGTGTAAACATTAAAAAAAAACTTTTATAATTTTTCACGCTACTTAAGATTAACCGTAGGATTTTAAAATTTCAGTGCAAGCTACATTTTGCACATAGTTTAATAGCAGTTTTTAATAGTAAATATTTCTTTCAGATTCAAAGCTACCTACTTAAACTATTGTTACTATTAAAAAATGTGCAAAAGGGATAAAATGTAAATTCGTAAATTCTTAAAGAAAATCATGCATGCGCAGACTAATATTCCATCAATAAAGTACCTGTTAAAACATTATTTTAATATGTTCAAATTTAAATGCATTGATTAAAGCTGAAAAATATGCCATTGAAATATGGTCTTATATTATCATTTTTAACCCCATATGTCCTTTTTTTTAGGAAACCATAAACGATGTCGACTGCGCTCTAGAAACTCTGCCAAAGGCAGCTGGGTCTATGACGTTCAATTACAGTCAGCAATTTTTTTAAGCGACCTGAAGTTTTTTTAAGATGTTTTTCATGTAATTAATTTTTTTTTTTTTTTTTTTTTTTTTTTTTTTTTTTTTTTTTTTTTTTTTTTTGGTCATTCGCTAGTCACGCGATTTTTCGTGCAGCCAGATTATTTTTCTCAGTGCATGTGTCTTCAAATTTATGTATGGATTCGGTATACTGTATTCCAAGATCAAAATGTCGACTTGTTTTTAGGGTAGCATGCATATTTCAGAATGACCTTAATCATATTTATCATATGTC